AGGCTTTTTATTATTTTTTATTTAGTTTATATATAAAGCTAATAGTATAGACTACTCTCTAGGTATTTATATATTAACATATCTATATATTACTACTAGAGTAGGTATACTTAATATTATTCTAAAGAGTATATATAGGTAGATTAGCTTTAGAGCTTTCTCTTATTAAGATTACTCTTTCTAAGATAGAAAGAAGGCTAGTAACCTCTCTTATCTATAAGTTTACTACTATACTAATCTCTATCTATATCTATCTTATAATATTAAATATATATACAGCTTACTAGCCTACCTTAGGAAGTAGTTCTAGAGAGCTAAACACAGTACTACGTATATAATTATTTATAATTAACTCTAAATACCTTAACTACTTAGAAAGAGTAGAAAGAAAGGCCTATATAGCTATAGCCTTATTATTATCTTTAAATACTGTAGTAGTTTAACAGATTTAGAATAGGCCTAGGCACTAGAGGTAAAGAATAGCTAGGATAAGGTTACTAAATATATAGGAGTTTATTCTTATAGAAAAGTTATACTAGAAGGGTCTTATAATTCTTAGAGTATCCTAGTCTATAAGGAATTTAGTTATACTTATATAGGAGGATTTCTAAGTGTATAGTCTATTCTTTAGTAAACACTGCAGCCTAGTAGCTATTAAGTAAGTAATCTTCTAGATAGAAAGAATAACCTTAAATATATAGGCCTTATAGCTATTTATACTATCTAGGCTATTATATCTATCTAGAAGATATTTCTAAGTTTCTTAGTATAGCTTATATATAAGACAGTGTATTACTAGTATCTATACGCTCTTATATTCTAGTAAGTCTATACTACCTATAAATATAAGATTAACCTCTAATTAAATAAGGGTAATCTCTTTCTATAATAGTATATTAGTAAATACTCTAAAGAAATAGTAGATAGCTAACTAACTACTTATAGTATATATATTAGAATACTTTACTAATTACAAAGATAGCTTAAAGCTAAACTAGTTATTAACTAGATATAGAATAGAGCTAAGATCTAAGAAAGGTAATCTTTACCTAGGTAATCTTTAACTACTTATAGAATCTAGTATAGATCTTGTAGGTATTTAAAGAAGAATATATACTTAGGAAATAATAGGCTTTAGTAGACTTAAAGAGGCCTTATAACTCTTATTTATCTAGGCTTATTCTTAAGAAGGTATACTTAACTATAGAGTTATAGTTATTTACCTTCTTTAGGTTAGAGTATAATGTTCCTAAGAAGTAGAATAATTTCTAGCTTAGAACTATTTTTTGCGTTAAGCTAGCAGAGTTCTAGAAGGCCTATAGCTTAGTATTTATTATATTAGTAGAGGTATATATTACTAATCTCTGTAAGTTAAACTAGAAGAGCTTATTTAAAGTATAGTAGTTATAGAGAAAGGTCTCTATCTATAAGGACTTAAAAAAGCTACTAGCAAAGATTTAGGTTAGCTACTCTTATACTAAAGTTATAATTATAGAATTTCTTATTCTATATATTATTATCTTTTGTAGTTATTCTTAGTTATAGGGATAAGAGAATTAGTATCTCTATCTATACTATTACTCTAGTACACAAGATTAATATTAATATTAAACTCTTCTAGTTAAGACTAATTAAAGCCTAAGTAGTTACTAGAGGAATTATTATCTAACTAGTCTAAAAAGAGAGAGCCCTCTTAAAGAGAATAAAAGGTTAAAAATAAGAGAAGCTAGGTCTAGAAGATAATAGTAAGTAACTAGTATAAAACTTAGAGCTAGACTAACTCTTTAACTTTATAGAGTAACACTATTTATACTTCTAAAGAAATCTACTATTAATATAGAGTAGCGCAAAGACAAAGTAAGAAGGGAAGCTTTCTCTATAATAGCAAATAGAGACAGGTTAGCTATAGTTAAAATAGTAATAATAAGGAAAATAAAAAGAGGACGCAGAAAGTTAAATAAACTTATTATATATAGGTATAGTCTACTAAGTAACGCTTATATTAGTAAATTAGCTTTTAATTATTTACCTTAGTTTATTTATTATAGTTTACAAAATAAATAAAGAATATTAATAAACAGATATAAGTTAAAAGATAAGTTATAATAGTTAAGAAAGATATACTACTATATTACTATATTACTATTAATTATAGACTTATAATATATAGTTAAAGATAAGAAGATTATAATCTAGGCTTTTAGAGTATTATAAGTAATATTTAAAGTTAATTAATAATTAATAAACTACTATATTTTAATCCTCTAGTTTAGAGGTTAGTATAAAATAATCCTACTAGAGCTTTATCTAATATAGTTATTATATTATATAAAGAATAATATTTAAAGAAGTAACTTTAAGGTTATCTTATAATCTTTAAAATCTATATAGATCTAGATATTAATACTCTTACAAAACTAGTAATATTCTAATAAAGATATTACAAAAGAAGTTAGACTAAGTTATAGGTAAATAAAATAGTTTAATATACTATTTAGGAAGTATATAGATTTATTTAGATAGGTAGATAATATATAAGATTAAGTAATTATATAGTTAGTATATAGTTACTAGAAACGCTTACTAGTAACTACGTATTAACTACTTCTACTTCTAGACTAGTTCTTCTACTAGTCCTTTAAGCCTGCTAGTAGGTTAGGGTTAGCAGATAGGTAGTAATACTTAAAAATAAAAGGGTTATATTTTATTACATAGAAAGAAGTGTATTATTAGCCTCTATATAGCTACCTAATTTTTACTGCTAGCTAACACTAAATATATAACTAGTATTACCTTCTATTTCTTTTTCTTTAGCTTAAGCTAGTAGAAAGAGGTAGTTAATACGTAGTTACTAGAAATATTTACTAGTAACTACGTATTAACTACCTCTGCTTCTA